TATATATATAGGCCTGCCGTACTTGTGATGGTGTTTAATTAATCATGTCCAAAGAGTCTCCGAAAAAGATCCAAAACTGTTATCATCAAGGAACGTCATGTTGCTTTGGGAATTACCATATGTTATATTAGTGAGATTGCCCAAAGAATAATGGTGTGGTGATGCTTGTGGAGATTGTGTCATTTCCATGCAAATAAGGGCCATAAGGTTAGCTTGTTCACATTGCATGTTGACAATCTCAGCTTGTGCCTTAGCCAATTGTACTTGGAGCTCATTCACTTGCTTTTGTAGATGACAAATTGCTCCTGCACAGCCATATACAGGATCCCTCAGTCTTGCATTGGCTTCATATACCATACTGCTCACTGCATCTGCTCTTTGAAATTCCGGCAGTTCCTGACAAAAATTAACCATAATGGTATTTATGTTTCATACTGTACCATTATATACTAATATCATAAATAATTTTACAATATTAAGTCATTTTAAAGGTAATAAAGACGTAAATATCAGCATCAGCGATAACTTAAAAAATAAGACAAGTCAAAGTTTATAGTATGTTAAATTGCTCTCATTGAAGAGCAGTCCGCTGCACTAAGCTCATGCTATGCGCGGAGTTCGGGGAAAGGCTGGACCAAAAGGGTCTATTATACGCAGTCTTACCCTGCATTTCTGTAAGAGCAGTGGCAGACCCAGGATTTTGTGGAAGCAGGTTCAATCTTAGAAGTACATAACTTTAGTCGTAAAATAGTAGTTGTCGAGTGGGTTCAAATAAAATATTTATACAAAATTTATGTAGCTTTAATCATAATTTATACATATACACACTATTATTTTTTGATGAAACACGTTCAATTGAACCCGCTTACCACCACGTGCATCCGCTACTGTGTAAGAAACTATTTTCACGGTTCGAACCCGCAACCTGGAGGATCACACGGTCACTGATTGAACTTTATTTTTATTGTCACTGGATATAAGATAAGTCCTCAAGATTTTCGTGAATTAGTGAAAATGATTTGTTTGACATCATTTTACAACAATTGTCAAACACAACTGGTGGAATTATGTGTGTAAGAGAGAGAATATAGTTTTGATTACATTGACACAAGAAGTCATGAGTAGTTAGTAGTTAGTACCAATAGGCCATAATGTTCTCCAAAAGTAAGGGAAGTCAATGCACAAATTAAGAAAAAATTAGGTGAAACTGTAGCCACATGGAATAAATAAAGAGAGGAGATGTGGTTGTTGCCATTATAGAATGTTTGTCCAAAGCATTTGAAATGCATGTAAACTTGAAAATCAATTCCCTCCCTTACACTAAGGACAACATTTGAATTTCATTATTAAATTTTTATGGCTGTATGAACAATCAATAAGCCTAGGACTCTCACTTTTCAAATTGCAACTAGAAGCTACCTTAACTACTAGGGCCAAATTGGTTGTCGACGCATTCAATACAACCATGCTAGAACATAGATATCTTCCTGTATTTCCATACTTTAATTTTTACAAGAAAAGCTTGATTTTACCTAATCAACTATAATAAACGGGAGTAAATTCCAAAAGGAATACTGACTATGATTCGAAATCATAGTCAGTTTGGTAAATTAAAGTTGTTTCAAAATATTTGATGTTTAAAAAAAAGAAAAAGTCACTTATTGCTCTCCTTTTTTATATCTATCCTCACTTTGTCCAATATTAGAGTGTTAAGTAGTTTGATTTTAAGAGAGAGATAGTAGTTTAGACAAAAAATTCTTAAGATTGACTATCAAGTATCTTTTTTAAGGATTAATGTGGAAAAAAAACCTAAAAGACAGATAATAAGAATCGGACGCCAAAAGACATACACAATATATAACTTGGTTTATATAACAAGTTTATTAGAGGTTCTTAAAGAAAATTTAGTGTACACGTAGATACTTTCGTAAAATGTAATTAAAGAATTGTGCATGGCGATAGCGTTTGATTTGTGAACATATATATTAACATACATGACTTGACATTAAGGCGGAGCCCAAGATTTCAATTACTTTATGGATTCTGCATTTTAGAACGATGATCCAAGTGTTAGTAACTGAATTTCTAAATATAATGCATATATAATTAATGAATATTTTAATATAAATATACTGTTTAAACAAATATTAATGTGTTCAATTGAATCCATATATGAGCTTCTACCTCCGACTCTATTTGATATCATGCCATCCTTTTATATTGCTAAGCTAAGTGGGAATTTAACCTAATACAGAGAAAATGGAGCAAAAAAGTGAATGTGGTAGATATATACCTGCAAGAACTTGATAATATTGCTGGCACCAAAGACGCGATGTGCAG